AAATGGCAAAGACAATTTCAATAAATTTATCTACCAAAATAAATTGCGTGTATACGTATACATATATCAAAAGAAACCGATAATATATCGAAATGTCATTAAAAATAATCCGTTATGCCGCGGCAGAACGGCAGAACGGCAGAGCGGCAGAGAGAACGGCAAGAATTTTGAAATGCTCCCTAAGTTTGTGATTTTCTCGTTAAATGCTATCGTTCGTTTATCGTTCATTGCTTCAAAATTCTGGATTGTGTCCTTAGTTGCTCGAGGATATTCAGTTTCGTCTTGATCGTTGTGATGTGGGTCATATAAAAGTTTCCATCGCTGTTTTTATTCTACAATTTCTTGCTTTTCTAATAAATAAGAATAGCATTTATCATTATCTGCGGTTGGTATCGGTGACGTTTGTTGATCTTTACACGTTTTTTCTGTCGCTGCTATTTGTCTTTGACTGATTAATTGGCGATTTATTTTTGAATAAATATCTTTCGCTTGTTGATAATAAAGATTGGCGAGCGGTTGTCGTTTGTCCTGTCTCAATATATGTCCTTTTTTTACGAATATCATTGCCAAATCATACGCTAGATAATAGCAGTACTGATCAATTTTAAACAATTTTAGTCCTGGATATTGTTTTAGAATCTGTTGGAATTTTTCTTTTGTTTGACAATAGAAATATGTTGTTGGAAATGATCGAAATTCAGAGATCAATTTACATGGTAATATTAAAAATTGTCGTCTATTCTGATTTATTCGCTGTTGCAATAGTTCAGAATCAACGACATGCACAGGTACATTTAGTCCGAATGTCACATTTTCCAAAAGAATCTCATGATTTGGATCGCAGATCAGTATTTCCATTTCGTCTTCCATGAACAATATTTTTTTGCGTTTCACTGTATCATTTTGTGTGGTATAGTGCTTTATTACTCTTCTCCGTTCTGTGTATTGACTTATATTACGTAGATATAAACATTTTTCGGGTTTTTTCCAAGCAAATGTAATTATACGTATAATGCATGTTCTCACAAAAGAAAAGAGCGTTTTCTTTTTCTTACTGCTAGAGACAAATATGATGAATTTCTTTACGGTTAGTTCCCATGTGCAAATGAAATAAAAACAGTTTTTTTTAAACAGAGTCATTTTTTCAACATTCAGGTAACTTTTAATCGTTTCTTCGGGTTTTGTCCCTGTCGTACGGGTAGTAGGAAGTATGCTAATATAGCCTTATAATAGTGAGCTGTTCGTGTTACCGAACTCATCACATCGATGTCTGCCGTTCCATTTCCATCTCTAATTCCACCTGTTGCTACTCTTTGCTGTAATTCAACAGCATTACGTGGCCAACGGCTACCAGCCACAGGTGTCGTTGCTTGTAGATATTTATTTGACCATAATCAATGGGAAGCCGAGCTACAAACATTCTATACACAAGAAAAACACTTTTGCTTGTTAATTGACCAAATGTTCCAAGCCACTGCGTTTTTACGTGGTTTAAATCAAAACCAATATGTTCATTCCATTTATTTGTTAAATGTGGGAATGGCTCTTACCAACGGGGAAAATTACGCGAAGCTAATTGATATTTACGAATCGATCGATATAATGTACCACGAGATGTTTCATCAGATGGCTCTGTACTGTATTGGTGAAGCGATAACATTGAGGTTTCTATCGACGGAAGCGAACGATGTCTGCGAGCAATTTGCACGAAAATACGAGCTTATGGCTGCTGATTTAAGGACAGACTTATCTTTGGACGTGTTCATGACTGATAACACTGAAAGTGCACAAGCTCAAACTTGATCACTTTTCTCTTCTTCTTTTCTATATTTATTGTCTTTTATTAATACATTAAATGTTCTGGAGGCAAAGATATAGTCACTTAAAAAATAGAGTTTAAAGTATAGAAAATAAGGTGAAAAAGATAACGACAGTATTCGACGCATCCAGAAATCAAATTCAGATTATCTCACACTTGGCATCGGTCAAGTTTTTGTCCAAACCATTATAAATCCTTATGTACACGCTAAACTGTTTATCGTCAAAAAGTATTTTTGAAGACCTGAAGTGTGTTTCGTAATATCCATGTATGTGTGTGTGTATGTGTGAAACATGATTCATTCTTCATACATGAGAGACAATGCGTATATACTCCCAGGTGGTCAGAAACGGCTCATTAGCTAACCGTAAACGTTCCGTTGATAAACTGTTTCTGATCACCTAGGATCACATACGCATTATCTCTACGGTATAAAGAAGATCGCAGATCAGTATTTCCATTTCGTCTTCCATGAACAATATTTTTTTGCGTTTCACTGTATCATTTTGTGTGGTATAGTGCTTTATTACTCTTCTCCGTTCTGTGTATTGACTTATATTACGTAGATATAAACATTTTTCGGGTTTTTTCCAAGCAAATGTAATTATACGTATAATGCATGTTCTTACAATAGAAAAAGCTGTTACTGTTTTTTTCTGCTTTCTAAAGTGCGCTGAATATTCTGAGGTGCCTTATTTCTTAAACTAAAGAAAGTGTAGAGTGTGAGAATCTCTCAAACGGTTCAGTGAGCTCTGACCGCTTACTCATTCAAAAATTCTAGAAGAAAAAATGTAAATGAAACCATGGCAGAATACCATTGCGATAGCAGTATCATATGTATGATAGTATATCATACCAAGGAGAAAAATTGTTAGAAACAGCTTCTATACTTGAACTGGAACACTAAAAACAAGAATTGATTGTCTTAAATGATCTCTTTTATGTGTAGAAGACAACAAGTTTCAAAGCTAAACATTATTTTCAACTAATTGAAACAATTGCACTTTACCAATTTCTCTCGAGAAATGACTATGTTCGCACTACGTCGTAGCAAAACATTATTTTTCTATGTATACGCGAAGATGACAGTAGAATAAACCGGAATATCGTTTTTTGTTTGTTTCTATCTCTTTTACTATTGCATTACCTTCTTATTTATTTAAAACATTATTCGTCAGGCAGATCATAAAGACGGCGTAAATGATATAAGTATGAGTAACGCGAATAGATAGCGGCTGATAAAGAAAATAACGATGGAAATATTTTCGGTAACCAACGCCATAAACGGTCCCTTCTTACATAAAAGACCAAAAACTGGTTCCAGTTATAACACTCCCACCGTAAAATAAAACTATTTGTGTGGTACTTTGTGCAGTGAAAACAGAGATGGACGAGTCTGAATCACGACTCGAGTCTCATTTGTCTTTGACTCGGACTCGGACTCGAGGTGAAAGACTCAATAAACTTGATAAACTGACTCGAATCACTTACGAGTCAGCCATGTGCAACTTGGGACTGTTATGACGGTGTTTATTATATTTGTTATGTACCAGAAGAGAGAGAGATTTGAGAATATTCTAGGTAGAACATCGCGTCACAGGAGAGGATTGAAGAACTATTCTTGGAAAAATGAATCAGAAGGAAGTTTTCCTGTAGAAAATGACTCGAAGTGACCCTAGGTGACTCGAGTCAATTTTTGATACGACTCGGATCCCGACTCGAAGGCTGCTGACTCGGACTCGCCCATCTCTGAGTGGAAAAGAAGGCATGCATATTTTTGTAAATTTCAACTTTTATAATTTTTTTGGTAATGTTATCTTAACTGTGCTGGTTCTGCTCTTGTAATCTCGCAGTTGTATCAGATTGTGGTATGTTTGTTAGATCTATAATATCATCGGTAAGTGTAGAACGGGTATAAACAGTTATTAAATAAAGTCTTAAAACAACAAAGAAAATAAAAAATGAGTGTTTCTGAACCAGCGGCAGTGACGAAAGCATTTAATTGTATAACCTTATTCTGGTGTGCTCAAATACGAGGCAATTACTCCTTCTACTTCCAAACTTAGAAAGAATGCAAGCTCCAAAGGGAAAAATTGAAAATAACATGCATTAACTAGATTTTTCACTTCTACATAAGCGTAATAAATACGTAAATGAATTCTGAAATTAAAAAAATTTAGATAGTTGGATTTTTTGTGATAAACGCAATTTGAACAGACTAGGAATAAATAGAATTTTACGAAAGTTTTCTTTTTTAATCTGTTCTAGCCACCATTACAAACATTTTCTGAAATAAACTAATATTTTTGGACCTTCATAATTTTTCTGCTGCCAAATCGGAGGGCTATTTCGAGACTTTTTCTTTTAACAAAGGGTATCAGTCAAAAATAAGTTAATATCAAAGGCTATAGAACGAGGGAATAAAACAGGTTTTGATTCCTTTGTGTTGAAAATATTGTGTTGAACGACTTCACCTAAACTCTAATGCTCTTAAATCAATGCCACGCGCATATCGATGGTAGAATTCCTTTTGGACTTCAATTCTGAAATGATTGTATTTGTAATCGAACTTGCTTCATTCTGAGCAAGGTATGCATTATACGGGCGCCATGAACTCCCTCAATCAGATAATTTTGCAAATACCGATATGAACTACCTTTATCATACACCGGCTTGTTTAGATGAAAACTAATGACGACGAAAAGCGAAGAGACAAGAAAAGATTCTACAGCATTTTCTGAGACAAACATATTTGCGAACAACAGACAAATGCATACTATGACTATTGAAGGGTAAAAGCAATTTTTAGTCGCCGAGATTCAAATAACAAGAAAAAGGAAGTCTTAGTAAAAATATCTTGATGCGCTGCTCGAACGACTCAAAAAGCAAAGCAACAATATTTGAAAACTATATCAATAAAATACTGTTGAAGGAAAGAAAATGTGGATTACAGTCATTGTTTCTCTTCAGTTTTAGATTTCTTTTTTCTTGGCTTCAATACTTTCTTATATTTTTTCGAAGAAAGCATACAAGAAAGTATTGAATTTTTTCTTCGAAAAAATGCATCATTGTATACTTCCATGCTTTTTGATACTTTGGGAAATTTTTGCGATCGTCGTCTGCAAACAGTATTGGGTGTTGTCGTAGGAAAAATATTTTTTTCAAGAAGCTTATCGATTATTATAACCCAAAACTATGTTAAGTATGAAAGAAATGAACGAATTTGTAAACGCAATAGTTCATAACCAGTTAATAAATTATAAATCATAAAATGACGCCACAGAGTACCTTGAGCCATTAGTGTTGGAATTTCATCAACAGCTAAACCTAGAAGAACGAGCAGGAATTTTCTAACATAGAACCACAGAGATGTACCATGCAACTCATCCTTGAGCGTATGTTAAAGTTATAAACGTAGAGCTTGACCTTTTTTCTTGAGAATGAAAGTATATGTGGTTGCAAACCGTCAAACCCAGAGACTGAAGCATTAGCTGAATCTTTTACCACTAGACCAGTATGTAAAATACTACTCTGTTAGGACGACAAAAAGCATGATTGGACTGAGCACTGAAATTGGATTACGACCAGCCAGGTCGTTGCTTTTAACTGCTGAGTCAGAACTAGAATCTTCGAATTACAAAATCATCTTTCCGCAACACTTAAAAAGTTCTTTGTAACGTATTTAACATATCGTTTCCTCCTCAATATGAAAGCTAGTGATGCTCTCGCTCACACTACTTTTTTTTTGAGAATCGGAGAGAGGAAATTGCAGAAACGGGTGTTTTTTGAGTAGGTTAGGATAAAATGAATGGTATTTACCTATTAATAAATTAATGACGAATATCGACATAGCAATTCTTGTGAGTAAAAACATGACATAAATGATTTTATAATAACTAATACCACCTTCTTCGGGCTGATATAATCGCCCTTCATAATTTATATTAAATACCATCAAACTTGTTCTTCGCAGTGCTTCATTTGGTGTTGCATAAACAGATTGATGGTGTTGAAACAGATTTTGCAGCAACATCCAGAATGTAATCCAAAACCACATATGATTATTAATAATACCGGTCGAAATCGAAGAAATTTATTCGACATCACTTCAAACATTACAACATAAACGCCATTATTAGCCCATGGGATGCATCGAACATGCGCTAGCAAAGGACAGGGGTCGATAAGGCAAAATCGGTCCCCTCTCAGATCAAGCTTATATTAATAAGTCTGATATAGTTTTTCTCCGTAATTAACACTAGAGCTCAGCAAGCTGAACCGAATGGTGACAACCGCAAGTCTCCAACCTTGTTAGAAAAAAGCGATAGTCATTTTACCCTCGCAGTAGCAAAATGCATTTTCGTCCTTTTCCGTAGAAAAGTTATGCTACACGTCCCAGTCTTGACATAGAGATTTCTGAAAAGCCCGGTTTTCTAGAAAACCTAGTGATCTTAAAGTTTCCTTCGATAGAGAATTTTACGGGCTACAAAATGATATATACTGTATAATATTGAGAACAAATGGGGCCTGAATGTCAATTCTCCATAAAATAAAATGCTGGCCAAGTTTTTACGATGTTGTATCAAACAGCGGCATAGAAAATACGACGCAGTTCGAAAATGGCATTAACGCGACTGAATTTATATCCGTAATGTTAAAAAACCTGTAACTCGGTGATCCATGAGCGTAGAAACCTGATCAGCATCTTATTTTATGGAGAATTAAAGGGGTTATCTAATGATATGGTTGAAAGGCTTCGGAAGAAAACTTTAAGATTACTAGGTTTTCTGGAAAACCGGGCTTTTCCGAAATCTCTATCTCAAGACTGGGACGTGTAGTTTAACTTTCCTCCGGAAAATGACGAAAATGCGTTTTGCTGCTGCGAGGGTAAAATAACTATTGCTTTTTTCTAACAAGGTTGGAGACTTGCGATTGTCAACATTCAGTTCAGCTTGCTGAGCTCTATAATATGAGGTAGGTCTCG